TCGCTTGTTGCATTTTCAGGCTCTTGGCCCGCCTTGTTCGACTTGAGATATGCTTGGAACTGGCCTTGGTAAGTCTTGTACGTCCGCCGGGTTGACTGCCCCAGCACGGAGGCTGCAATGGTGGCCTTGGACGGAACTTGACGGGATGTTGGCTTCATAGCAGATAGGTTTATGAGGATTATTAGCCAACCATACCTTGTTATCCGTATATGCCACGGATTATGCGTGTGCCCGACACGCCAATCGTCCAATCATGAACAGTTTAGGAATATTGACCAATAAGTCAACAAAACCATGTCGGATGACCAATAGGGTGGTCAAAATGGTCGGATAAATGTTGGATGTATGTAGTTTATGTCGGATTGGAAAGGTTTTTCGATGCGGTTCATGTGCAGATCTTGGCAAGTTGGAGAGGCAGCAGACGGAGTTTGGCAGTCGGGCCCTGCAACGTCGACCGGGGGCCGCGCAAGACAGCCTTGCAGTCGCAAAAGAGTCTGTTCTTGTACACCGTGAAAGCGTCCGCGCGTTGAGGGCGTGAGAACGACGCCGAGTCGTTTCGGAATCGGCGCTGCGATCGATGTAGCCCCGACTTATGAAGGCGGGATCGTGCCTCTGTCGGACATGAAAGCACTCGTCGTGGCCTTTCTACCTCCGGAAGACCTCCTGTCGGCTTCGATGGTGTGCCGCCATAGGCGAACCCATTGTCGCACCTCGGTTGGACCTGTACTCACGCGTCGAGCGGTATCCCCTTCGCCGCCTGCTCAATCTCGAGGAAGTCCAAGTTGTGCCCCTGCGACTCAAGTTTACATGGTGTATTGCACTTCAGACATGTTTGTGCGCCGCTTGCGAAAAGGTCGTGCCGAGCATCACATTCCCAGCCAAACCTACACGTGAGACCAGGCGTGGCAGCGTATTTTCACAAGTGGCTCCATGCCCAGTCATTACCCCTTCCATCCAAAGACCCTTCGAGCCGTGTGTGGGCAGCTCCTCCGGGTCAGCATGGAGTCTCACAGGATGAACGTGCATGATGCGATCCACGACATGCGATCCAGCTTGAATCCGTCGTCATGCACTTGAATCGCGACGCGAGTCAAGACAATCCATGTTGCAGCGACCACGACCGCGTCGGTCCCGCTACTGCAGCTCACGACGCGCCGACCATTTCACGGACCCGCTAGCGTTCGACCTCACACACGGTCGCGACGACGACTCACGGTTGCGTTTGGGTCGGTCAGACAAAGCGCGAGGACGCCGCATCCATGGATTTCGCCGGTGCCAATGTACACGTCGACGGTGACACTTGACCTCCCTCCAGCGACCCTCGGCTGTCGTTGGAGCCCAACGTGAAGGGACCTCGATCGCGCAACTCGTAGCTGGATTAGCAGTGGGCATGTCGTCCATCGAGCCCAATGCCTTTTCACAAACTCACGTGCTCAAGCACAGCCTCGAGAACAACGCGCGTCCCCCATCCCTTACCAGCCTTAAAATAGCGGCCCTTCAGCGCATCATTGCGTCGCGACCATGGCCGTTTCGACCGCGCAAAAACGCAGTACTTGGCACAATCCGTTTCGAATGCTGCACAACGTCGCCGCGCACGTCAAGGGATGGTTCACAAAGCGACCGAAGGGTCACCCTCAAGCCATCCACGACGACGCTGCATTCCCTCTTCACGTTGACCAGGTCCACGCGTCGTTTCCACCGCCTTCGACCAATGTGTCCCCGCTCTTGTCGCCAACGGCATCGTCGGTCGACGCACCACACACTTTGCCAAAGGCCAAAGTTCGGCTTGTCGTTCGAGTTGATGATCGCACCATCCATTGTACTCGTGTGGCAGTCGAGGATTTGTGCTCAACACACCACTTTGCGCTGTCCCATCGATGGCAGGAGAGATCCCTTGCGCTGGGATGCGAGTCGTTCACGGTGCGATGCGACAACGAGCCGCCGTACGCTGTCCCGCTCACACAAGCGGAGGCCCGCCAGCTTTCCACGTACATCGCGACGTTGATGCCGACCGACCAGGACAACAATCGGGCACGTGGGATCTGGCTCGACTACGTGTGCATGAACCCGACGAGTGGTTCGGACATTGCGGCGCAGATGAATCTGTTTGGCGCAATCTTTGCCACCGCCACGACCATTCCCACATCGGATGGGCTTGATCCGGTCGTGCCCACGTCGGACGAGTACTTTGTGGTGCACCAAGAGCGTCATTTTGGTCATGTCCGATTCGTCTGGTCCGACATGGACAAGGTCGAGTTGCATCTGTTGATGCGCCTCGCAACCAATGCCGCGGCTCGCGTCCCTGGGTTGACGGACTTTCTTCCGCTCATCGATATGCCGTACACGTTGTATGAGTCGTGGCGCTTGATTGCTCTCGAGAAACTCGTCGCAGTCGACTACCCGACCACCGCCACATTGTGCCGCCACATGCTTCAGCTCGCGCAGGAGCCGCGCACGGTCGCGAACCAACGAGACCTCGCGATCACGGCGCTGCGCATTCGTGAACTCATTCCATGCTTCCACGAAGTGGACCCGGCGACGTGGCAGCAGCACCTGTTTGCCACAGGCCGTGCGAAAGATCTCTTGTTCCATACGTGGGCAGTCCCGCTCCATTTGCAAGGCCTCGACGTCCCCTACGACCGCCCCGATCGTGCGTGGGATTGCATCGCGACCCATTTCCCAGACGCTGACTACGGCTACTACGCTCCCCATGATGCTCCACAGGCGCCTTACGGTGCGTTCCAACGTCCATGCCTCACGTTATGGTGTGGGTGGCATGCTCTCGTGGAGGGTTGACGGCGTTGTTTAGGAGGGTCGACGAGTTTTGCCAACATTGGGTTTGCTCCAGTGCGAGAACTCGTCCGTCACATGGTGCATAACACGGTGGCGGCGGCGGCACCGGCTGTCGGATCTACCAGCTTGGTCACGCACTCGTGGACATACAGGCTGGCATGGGATATGGGCCATGTCGCGGTCGCATGGGATGTGAAACTGCCTCATCAGACTTTTCACTTCGTCGCGTCGCATGCGTGCTTGCTCCGCGGCGTGAAGCAGCACAAGTGTGACAAGGCGTCCAAAAAGTCGAACCATCATCATCCCCGCGGGAGCACGAGTGTTGAAGGAAGCCGCAGCAACGCAGACACGCCCGTGGTCGACTATCGCGACAACGACACGATCGCCAACGACGTCGACGAAGACAACAACGGACACACGGACGGCCGCATGCGCAAGTTTGTCGTACTCGTTGCGCGCTTGCGGCGTCTTGGCGCGGCCATAGCTCCCGATGTCGCGGACTTGGACGTCGCGATGGAGATCAAAAGGCAAATGGAACGCATTGCCATTGAAGCATCCGGGCTGTCATGAAGATCGTAGTCGGCCTTATAAATACAAGTTGTCTGTAACGATGCGGTCGAGCTGCCACATATGACTCACGGCATCGTCGTCTTCTGCGCAGTTGTCGTATCTGACGTCGTAACGATTGCTCGTCTCCTGTAGTACGTCGTCGAAATCCTCGCCATGGTTGTGCTGACAGGCTCCGTTGAGTTGAGTTGGCCAATGCTTGCCATCAGATGTTACGTCGGCAACCGCATTCTGCCTGTCGATGGCCGAGTGGGGATAGTGAGAGTGTTGCTTGTGGACCGACTCCTTGTCTGCGTCTTGCTTCACTTGGATTTTGTCGTGATCCGCTAATGTGTCGCAATAGCCTTTGTGGAGCTTTTTCTCCGAGGTTGGCGCCGGTGATACAGCAACAGACACAATACCAGAGGACTTGTGAAGCGAATTCATAGCCTTCGAGAGAAATGATCCAAGCAACAACACGCGGTTGTTGGTTGGTTGAGGTAGCTCATGCACTGGCAAAGCACCATCTCGGACCTCTTCTTCATTCAGGAAGCCAGGGTTACCACGGTCATTCTCAGCTCCTTCATGCCAGTGATTTTTGCTTTCGTCCAAGATTGACATGATTCTTGTGCAGCTCGTCGAGTTGTTCCGCGCTTCCCGCTCGTCGATATGGTGTTGTAACCTCGATTTGTCATCTCCCTACACGTTCGACACCAGTGAATGCTATCGATTGGAAGTTTATGTGCCGCAGGTCCCCCCTCATGCAACGAGAAGTTTCGTACCACAGAACACCAGGGGGCTGCGGGCTTGCACAACAACATGGTGCCTTTTGACGCCATGTCCATGGCTGTCCGAGCTTCGTACTGTCCGCGACTTCCCAGAGCTTTCCTGATGAGGTCTTGCACGCTAGTTTCGAGCCGCCTCACCTTCGAGTCGGCCAACTCGAGTGCCACGATAGGAGTCATTGCCACAAACGTCGCAGATTCCACGGCGGCTGGTTGCAGAGTCGACAATCCAATACATTCTCCTGGACCGAGGTACGCGACGAGCATGCATGAGTTGTTGGTGCTCTCGGTTCCAACATTTGCGCCACTGTCAGTCTTCTCTGGTTGAGTTGGGTTGACTATGGTGCTTATGGATTTGTACACCCCTACTTGACCTTCCTTGATGATGACAAACGCTGACGCGTGCTGGCCTTCGGAGACAAAGATGTGGCGGCCATTAAACTTGACCTCGTTCATGTCGTACGCGAGTCGGATGCAGCTCTTGTGATCATACTTGGCAAAAAACGAAATTCTCGCCAAAAAGTCGGCGCGGTCGATGATGTAGTGACGGATTTTGAAGCCTGGTCGCGACGCAAAGAACCTCGCGAAATTTCGACGCTCAATCAGTATCAACTCGGCGTCCGTGCCTGCGATCGCGGATGCCGACCGGGCCATATTGGTCACGAGGCTCATTTCCCCGAACGAGTCGCCCGCAGACAGGGATGCTATGATGTTTGGTGGGGCACTTGAGCGACCAACAGTCCCCGTAGTCGCGCCAAAATCTTCAAGCACAATGTTGACGACGCCTGACAAGACTACGTACGCCTTGCCTTCGACAACGTTTTGCTTGAATATGTGCTTTCCCGCTTTGAAGCTGACAAACTCCATAATCTTTGCGAGCTGCGTCGCCATCGCGTACTTTTGTTCGGGGGTATTGGGTGCGTCCGCCACACGAAACTTATCGAGAAGCGACGACGTATCCGTGAGCCGTCCAAGGAATGCCAAGTCTTCAGTGTGCAGGACTGCCATGGTGTCCGCCTTGGACGGATCTCGACTCGTCATAAGGCGCTTTGCCTCGTACCGAATGAGTTTCATCGCACTCGTCGCATCAAACCAGTCAATCTTGTTCGAGATGCTTGGAAATTCGAGCGCGAGCTTGGGGTTGTGAAATACGCGTCGAAATAGGTCGGTATATAGCGTTTTCCCCATAAACTTGGCGTTGTGGCTGCGCTTGAACCGACGAATAAATCGCGTGAGATATGCAACAACGTGCGGATTCTCATGCAGTGTTTCAACTTGGCGCATGAGCTCCCACTCGTTGCTGAGGTTCGTTGCCGCAATCGACTCGGCGTCTCCGTCCAAAACAAAGTTTTGCGCTTTCACAAAGCTTTCCCGGTTAATCACGATGCACGTGACTTCACTGACTGCAATGACATCTATAAATGTTCGTGAGAACAAACACTGCTGGAGTGCACAGCTCGTCAGCATTACCTGCGGTCCGCGCCTTCCCAAACAAACCCATCTCGCCAAACCCTTGGAACGGTACCTTGCGCACGAGCTCGACATCGACGCCGTTGTTTTTTATGCATATTTTGGCTGTACCCTACATATTTCGTCAGTTCAGAAGCACTTGCATGGCGACACATGCGCCAAGCGAGAAGCCATGATAATGCGAGCTGGCATACTTCGACGATAACGAAGTACTGGTCGTCACAATCGCCTTGCTTGCAAATGTAGTCGCCGTCGGCGTATTCCTTCAGCATGGTCAAGTCCAGCATACGGCCGCGTTGCTTCGGATTCAGAGCCGAAAACACGTTCAAGTTGTCCAAGACTCCATGTTCGCGCATGAGAAAGCGGTAGTGAAGGAGGAGCTGGACCGAGGAAAGTAGAGCATTGCAAGCGGATAGTTCCATGGAAAAACATCTCACGTCTCCCTCCGCTACCACATTTGCCGTACGCTGGGCTTCGCCATGCATCGCAAACGGGTATTCACCTGGCAACATGCCCCGAATGCGGTGTAAGATTACTTTATTTGGGGGAAAGGAGTGACAGTACGAACCAAAGTATTCGTATTCTTCGCGAGACGATGTGGCGCCGTCGTCGTACTTCTTGATTCGAACAGCCTTAGAAATAATCACCCGCCCGCTTTCAATAAAGTACAGCCGTGTGTCGGTGTCTCCTTTGGTAATGATGGGCTCATTCGCAGAGAATTTCATCGGAACTAATCCTTCCATGACGTCCGCTTCCTTGACACCGTTCGACACCACCATACCTACAATCAACTTGAACGAGGGCTTGGATCATCGTACATTGGGAAGACTGACTCAATATGGGTACATTCGCAATGAGAGACTTTTTTCGTTCTTCCAGCGTCGCTTCGTGCTCCACGTGCAGGATGGACAGTCCATTCCACTTTGAAGAAGGGCCAGGTGCCACTTTCTCATTCCCCTTAACAGATATGACGAGACTCCCGCGCTTGTTCTCTGGCACATGTGTTCCACTCGCTGCCGCCGTCGACTTCTGCCGCTTCCCCATTAGCCTTGCTGGAACACCGGTGAAAGCGCAATAACTGCCGAACGTTTCAAAAAAGTGCGCGCGCATTTCGAGCCTTCCGATTGGATATTCTACAGTGCGTATAACGAGAACTCGTCATTCTTCAAATTGCGCGAGAACGGACAAGTGGCACCTGGGACATCACCCGCCAAGGGCAGAGGAATCTCTGCGGTCGCATGATGCGTTCGATGACGAGAATTCCCACGTAGTGTTTGCACCAAGTCCTTGTGGTAACGTTTCGCGCTGGATATAATCTCCCACCGTGCCTTTGTCTCGAAGGAGGTCACTTGCAGCGCATAGAGGTGGGGAATGGCCTTCACAGGTTTCAAGACGGAGAGTATTGCAAGACATCTCAGTCGTAATGATCGTCGCAGGTGTTTCTGGTTCCCCTGAGCGAAAACGCTAACGTACAAGACAGATTTATCGTTTAGACAAAAGGCAGACATGGCACGGAAAAATTCAAAATGCATTGCGCTAAGTTACGTCACCCTACCTACGTCGCGAGGACCTGTCATCGCTCTTAAAGCACTCTTGACTCAACCGAGGCCGTCGAGCAGCGCGCCGTAGTCGTGGTCTATGCTTCGACTACTATGGGAATTTCGATCCATTGGCCTTTCATCTTCGTCGTTCAAGAGCTGACGTATCTTGAGGTGACGTGTCGACTTGTTGATTTCGAAGTCGATCTCTTGGACGTGCAAAGTTTGGACACGACATGTCGGAGCGACGTCGTCAGATTCTTCCATTCTCTCAACCTCATCGACGGTGTGGAACATGAACACACTTTGCAGCGTGATCGTGAACAACGTCGGCTTTGCACTGCTGATGTCAATCACAATCGGCATGCCATGGTTGTGTGCTGGTCGAATCACCATCGATGGGCTGCCTAGAAGCGTCCGTACCACAAAGTACGAGTCCCCGCCGGCGATGGTGCGCGCACACGCTTGCAAGATGGCACTCACGATGTGCACACACTCGTCATGCGTGGCGGCAAACCGGCGAACATACCCTTCCAGCACCTCAAAGATGTCGTCGATGCTCTCCGTCTCCCCGCCGCCATACAAGATGTTGTTGATCAAGAACAGTTCCGGGATGATGTCGCGAAGCGTTTGCTCGATGCTGATAGGCCGAGGTCTACCATCGTCCACATCAAATCACCATTCCTCAAAAATGGTCACCTACCGCGGCAGCACAATGTTCTTGAGCACCTGGGCAAATTTTGTGAACAAGAACGAATAGTCCGTGGCCGACGTGGCAGCTGCCGCTTTTTTCCTGATCGCAGTTTGGTCCAACGGGTTGATTTCCCACAGCAACGGGTCGGTTTCCCGAAGGTACTGAAAACTGCTGTACTGGTACATTTCGTTGTCCGACTTTTTGGCTTGTAGCTGCTTGACCTTGCCTACTCAGCAACACACAGGTACATAATCACTGTCCTACTTTTCCTGGGAAAGCAACTCTAAAACAAGAACCTGCTTCACGAATTGGCTCATTGATGTACCTTGAGGGGATGGAGGCAAGGCCAAATAGCAGTGAAACGACGCTCGGCAGATCGCGTTGATCCAACTGTTGAGCTCGGCGGTAGTCTCCCCATCTTCCACCCGCAGCGTGCAGCTCCGGCGGCTACCAGGGCATTAGTGCCATCTCACAATAGAGAATGCAATTGAACGGGCGCAAGCTAGCTTCGTCACGTCCTCGAAAACCTGCGTCATGCAGCAATGCCACCCTTCATACCTGTACGAATGGTACGTCAGACGGTTGCTAAACTTGAGCATACAAATGAAGTCTCCGCAGGACGGGGCGATCGTGAGGGACGACGGCATGTCGTTTCCCGTGGACTGGTCATCCTTGACACAGTGCACTTTGTCTAGCACTATTGCGCCACGGGGTATACCGTCCTGCAGCAGAAGCACGAATCAGTGTCTGTATCAACAAGGCCAACATTCCCCCTGAACGGAGCCACGCACCTTTTCGCTCTTGAAATAGTACAATCGGTTGCCTTTCAGCTCAAACCAACGTAGCTGCCACGCGTTTAGACCGCTGCTGCGCTTCTTCAGCCACCCCGTCTTGTCCGGTGTCTGCAAAACAATTGTCAGCATTCGCGTGGTGTTGCCTCCTTGAGAGCAGTTCCCTACACATCGCTGGAACGGATCGTCCTCGAACAAGGTCGTCGTTGTGGTGGGGGCGGCCAGCGCATGATACGTTTTAGTCGACGTCGACGCCGTCGATGTCGACGCGACTACCATGGTTGGAGGGATCGGTCCAACAGCCAATCTTGGCGCACTGCCATCGCTCTGTCCATCACTTCTTCCCGAGAAAAGTTTCAGCTGCTGTTGCTGCCACTTGGTGTCGTTGAGCCGCGACGAGGACGGCACTTTGATGGACAAATCCGTCGACAAGCTTCGCACAAAGGACGCTGAAGCCTTGCTGGACACGGGTGGCTTCTCCCCGCTGCTTCCACTCAAGATGGACGGAGCCGAGTCGGTCGATTGACTTCGTACATGATGGCTCGACGATGTCGATGATCGAGACGACAAGGTCGGTGACGTGATTGCCGTTGCGGTCACCACAAAGGAAGCCACGCTTTCATGACGAGGCAAAGCCTTCGATCGATCTTGCAATCCAGCCAATTCCGTGGTCGTCATGGGGGCTCTTCCCATATCGGCAGCCATTCTATCCCAGTGACATGAGAAATGAAACACACAACATGACAAAGATGCACGTACGTTGCGGATCGAGGCCATGACGTCACATCTGGAAGACTTAACATCTTGGCTAGGGCCACATCAATGCCAGATGCGACTGTAATCTACCGTCCGAGGTATGAAGGCAAGGGTGATGGGGGTGTCGTACGTGTTCCATGGATAGCTCCTTGCGTGTGAGTGGCAATTGAATCGTCAGCCCGTAGAGTTGTCGCCCGATCCATTGCAATGAAATGTCGGGATGAATGCTGGCATTCAAGCTACAAACGTGATCAAAACGGAATCACACTGGCATGGCCGTTTTCGTCGTACCTTTTCATACTTTGAGCAATCATCACGACCAACTCGCCACCGCGCTCAATCGTCCAACACGTCATGTATCCACGAAGATGGGACCCTTCTAGCACCCATCGCTCCGCTCCATGCGACCAAGGATCATCGGCAAACAGTTTCTACACTCAATGGTGGGTATGCACCCCAACACGCTTTACTTGCTTACCTTGGCTGACGCGTTGAGCTTCGCCAGCTCGTGCATGAGCTCCATGGGCTTCATCGCAATCTCTTCGTTGCGCGTGGGGTCCAAGAGGTCCCGTGGATCGATCCACCCACCAGAGTCGGCAGTGAGACGGCGGCGATCGTTCGGGTCCAGCCCACGCCAGCTATTGGTCTTGGGCTTGTCGGGAAAGGTGGCCTGCGACTTTGGCGACTGTGTTGCAGGACCATCATCTGCTTGGCCGCCAGGAGTAGCGTCATTCACAGCCGTAGTTGGAGCTGCGGGTTTTGTGAAGCGCTCTTTGATGCGAAGGAACTGGTCTTTCAGGCCGCTGCATGAATCGGGAAGGTACAACGAGTAGGATGTGATGTGCTTCGATGGTTTCGACGGGGAGTTAGGTGACGGCCTCCGAGTCCGCGTGTATTCATCGTCCGAATCGGTCGACCCGCTGCGACAAGATGGACCAGGATCGCTTGCGTGCCCTGTTTCCATGTCCTGGACACAAGCTGTGAGATTCAATCACACTTTACAGTCCGTTGGTGTAGGATGGACGAAAAGGAGGACGAGCAAAGCCATGCAAGAACGAATTCGTACCTCAGCGATGCGCTGGAATGCGAGTGTCGCAGCCGATTTTGTCGGCGTCCGGCGATGCCGCGTCGCTGGTGAATTTGCCGCCTTGTATTGGATTGGCGACCCTGTGGACTTGGAAGGCGACGGGCTCTACCCATGAGGATTCCGTCAAGACTCCAGAACATCCAACGACCGTGCCAACGAGTACCCGTTTGTGATCTTCTTTTGCAAACTTAAAGTTGGAAAAGCCGATGTTCAACACAGGAAGACTGTATTGGCGCGAGTTGTTGCGGCGGTGGTTGGGCGACGCCGGGGACGATGACGTTGGGGAGCTACTGCTGTCGTCTGTGACAGAGGTCACAGAACGCTGAAGCATCTCGGGCGGCGGTAGTTCCAGCGACACACTGCTGTCCAAGCGAGGTCGACGCTTCATGCACGCTATATTGCTTCCTTCCGGCAGCACCTTGATCGAAATGAGGTCACCATGCAAACGGTTTCGTCGCCTGCACAGGATGAAATAAATTACGATGATTGACTTGAGGTTATTATGTTATTGTATTCGTGGGAGCTTCTGCCACCCAATACGAGGATTTCACCTCGGGTAACGGCCAGAAGCGCGGCGGCTGGAGCGCCAAGGTCGTGTGCTGAAGGACTGCGCAGAGAGGACAGAGAAGATCATGGAAATGGCGATGATGAGGAGCACCTTTGGCGGGTAAACCCACGCATGGAATGGGACTAGGACTCTATGGACAGGAACGCCAAGGGTGGGGATCGGTGGTGTGGTAACAACGCAGTCGCATGTTATCCATGTTGGTGATCTATATCTGCAGCCTCTTGAAAGGCCACGGGCTCCAGCGACGGTGCTGGTGCCATCTTGCGATACCCCAATAGCAACGGGTACATCTTCTCCAGCGCGGTGTGCATGTCATGCGTGTCCTAGACGAGCATGCACATACTCTTGAACTGCACCACCAACTCCTCGTTCAACTAAGGCCTACCTTTGCTCCACACACGACGAGCTTCCCCGACACAAAAATGAGGAACGTCAACTTCGGGTCCACCATTTTGAAGATGAGCCCGGAAAACAACTCGGGTTCGTACTACATGACCGACAGACGTCAAGGTCCGCCCATGGCGCACGACGTACTGTGCAGAAGCGCGAGTGGTCGTTCAGAAGCCCTTCCAGGCGGATGGGGAACCGCACGTCGCTCGTCCCCATGATGTTGCAGATCTTAAACATGTTGTACTTGGCTGGAAAGTTGAGTTTCTGCGTCAACGAGTGTGTCAAGACAAGCAGCATTCGAAGCGCCACGACCATGACGAGATACCTGCAAAACCCTGCAGTATTTCCTTGCCGCGAGCCGGCAGAACGCCTCTGTGGATGCTCCTGTAATGACGATCTGCGGCGTCGCGGATTATATCATCAACGAATCGTTCAACCCTACACAGCATCGACGAACCTTTCCAGACGAAAACATGAGTGCTGTGGTCTTGGGGTCGCGGAGCCGCATGATGACCGCGGCAAATTTCTACGTCCACCGTGCCACATCCGACATGAGATACACTTGAATATGAGGATCGGACCACGCGCACCTTGGGATTGTACTCTGCGTTTCGTGCATGCAGGGCTATCGTCTTGAGGTCCAAGGGTGTCTGTACGTCGATCGTCCCGACAATGTTCCTACAAGCGCATGCCTGTGATGCCACCAAGGACCAAACATGTCAGGATGGCCACGTACTTGACATGCAAGACCAGCCGCTCCGACGACCATTCGTTATCCACTTGAAGCGCTTGATGCGCATCCACGATCTGGAGCTGGGACTCATGCGGCCGTGGCGTCGTCATGTGTGCTTTGCGTCGGTCGGTTGGTCCCGTGTATTATATTTCCGCAGTACCCGCCAATGGAATTCGGACCACCTCGTGGGATTTTATTACAAGGAATTCCTTTGGTTAGGCGATCAACCGAATTTAATTCCGTTTTTGATTCCATACCAATAGAAATAGCCAATCAAAACCACCAACGTCGGTAGTACGTGCATACCAACGGGACAACCAGCACGGAATCGACGGCTAAGTGGCATTGCTTGCGCCTGCATGGAATCGCAATCGTGCACCACGACATCGCGTCCGTACGTACTCGTACAGGCAATTCGACGTACGAGTCATAGAACATATAGTGTGAAGTGGCGTCGACGCCAAGATGCCGACCAGAGCTCACCGCCTTCCGACAACGCACTACTGGCGTGGCGGGAAGGGTCCAATGGCAACGATACGAGGTCAAGGCGATGCCCCTTGAACAAGACTCGTTCATGAGGGTTTCCATGGCGGCGGCCATGCGTCATGTGCGTGGAGCGAGCCTTTCCGGATAATATTCGGACGTGACCTTTCGGCGTTCGTGTGAATCGCGCCGACATGAGCACGTCCAACTTGTCAACAGCATCCGAGCGCGCGAGTCTGGAGGAAGCGGCGAAAGGAATCCAAACAGCGATTGAAAAGTATCAGGTACACACTTTCCACTGGCCATGCACATCTCGGCCGTTCCGCATGCGACGAAAACAGTCCGAGATGGTGATCGTGGGCTGTTTGTCCAGGTCTTGCACAAGCTATCCAAGCTATACATTCACTTTAAACACGTGAATCCTGTCGATGTGCGGCTAAATGAAGCTGGCAAGAGCATTTCGACAAACCTTCGTCGTTCTCACATGTTTTGCGTGAACCCACAGCATGCTTTGTCGCGTTGGCATCGATCAAGCGCCTCCTCGCGGAAGCCACACCCCCTCGTACGCTCCACAAGTCCAACGGACCGACTTCACTCCTATGCATGATAGAGACCGGCAAGCATCTTGCTTACGTGGCGGAGGCCGAGCATCATTTGAACAGTGCCAAGAACATCTATAACGTACGTAATCCGAAGGGCACCCGTCATGGCCACAAACGCCCATGCTGCGTTAGGACTTGGCATTTCACGCACCGAGTCAGCTTGACACGAAGCGCGGGATGGCCACGATCTTGCAGGAAGTCGGAAGTCTGCGCTACTTTCAAGACGTACGAGTCGCTGCTCCTGCTCGTGGCTGTACGTGTGATTCCATAGAAACATGCAGACGCGCAGTCGGTGTGGGCGGAAGCGTGTGGCATGTACGAAGACATTGGCGATGCCCCTGCCGTGGCCTCTTTGGTACGTCGCCGCTACAATTTTCTCCGGTATCCCCTCTCGGCATGGTCCAACTTGCAATTCGCACCAGCGCAAGAAAATGGACGCACTCCGCCTCGCCCACGACATCCAAGCGTACAAGAAAACGTTGTTGGAGCGTAAGGTCCGTTCCTCTTCTCTCGACCGTCATGAATACATCCGTTCTTGCCGGCACAGGGCGAGAACCGCGAGCGAGACGCGATTTTCAAGGCATTTCAGAAGTTTGACAAGGACAATTCGGGTTCGCACATGCCATCGAGATTTTGGTCTCGGTGGGAGTCGTGATGGATGCGCGATAGGAGAGATGGACGCGTCCGAGTTTGCCGCGCTGTCGATGGAGCTTGGGACGTTCCCGCCGCTCTCGGTCGACGAGATCAAGGAAGCGTTTACCCAGGTATGGCGAGTGTCGGCGAGGTTCGACGTCTGCACAAGACATTTATCTCTCGAATCCCGTGGCGGTGTAGCTTGACTCGTCAGCCGACAACAAGATCTCGTTCGCCGAATTTTGGCAGTGGTGGAGCACCGACGAGATTCAAGCGTTTGCAGCAAAGCAAAAAGCGCGCTGAGGCCGGCTCGCTTGCCCCAGACATGAGAGATAATCACAGTCCGTCCAGTCGTTCTCGATGCCATGGCACCGTTATTGCTACGTTCCACATTCGCCCCGTATCCCACCGCATGCACGCTCCTGTGTTGGGTGCAAATAGAATAGGACCTCGACCCAGAGGCCGTGCCGGTACCAGACGACAATAAATGGAGTGTGCGCCGCCGCCATCAAGTCTCGCCATCGATCGATTCCAACGGACCAAGGCACTTCCACAGCCGCAACACCAGATCTGGAAACACATCTTGGACAAACTCTTCCAGCACACGCTGTCGGCGCCAAATCGAGATGTCGTGATCGTGAGATCGATCGCGACTGCTTTGCAATTGGCGCCATGCCTCTGGCGACAACTCGGCTGCATGCTGCTTGAGATTGCGTATCCACCGCACGAGGTCGATGGTGCTGGACGTGTCATACTGCCGGTGCCGGTGGACGTCCAACCCCCGCGCTTGGAGCGGCGCTCCCCAGTCTGGTGCTGGGTAGCATGCACCAATGCAGTGCTGTCGCTTCTGGAGCTCGACGAGCATATCGTTGGCGACTGTCTCGATGTAAGCCAGCTTTTGTCTTCCTGTCCACAGGAAGGGATGCCCCCGGACGCCGTCAATTGTCGCCCGCCGATGGGGGTCCACATGTGTCATGGTCTCGAGGAGGTCCATCGCTTCGTTCGACAATGCGATCGGTTGGCCGCCCTCGATTCGACGCGAGGTAGAGCGGTCATCGCGGCCACGCAAGGCATACGCTATGCACAGGCCCAGTGACAGTACGTCGTGTGCAAAGGCTTCCTGGGCACGTGGCCGCGTTCTGTCGATCCATTGAGACCGTCGGCAGAGGAGTTTAGTTGAGGACGGCGCGCCATTGCAAGCGTGAAATAGCCACAGGCTGTCGATGGTGAGGTTACCATGGACGCGGTCATGGGCATGGAGACAGGCCACCGCCGCGACGGCATTGCGCAAGACTGCCACCGCATCTGCACTCAAACGAAGCGGCTTCGAATGAAACGCGCGTCGCCAAGTGGATGCAGCGTGCTCGTACAAGAGAAAGTGCGGGGTTGCAGAGCTTTCAAAGTGGGGTGGCATCGACGCGTCCACGTAATGGAGGAGGCGATGGCCATCGACATGGGCTAGCAACTGTCGAAGCGTTTGGCCGTGGAGCCGCTCCAGTGCCGCCGCTTGCGACGACGGACGAGTGCACACGAGGACTTTGCCCCACGCAGCATGCATCCCATGGTACACAATATCCTGACGAAGATGCATGTCGCCACTGCAATCTTCCAGAGGCACGTCCAGGATGAGGTCGCCAAATGCAACTTGTTCACACTCTTGCAAGGAATCTGTGGAGGACGAAGCGCTTCGTTCTCGCAGCTCGTGGGCAACGACGCGCTCGCCTCGTTCACTTGGGGGTGTATGCGCCGCAGTGCCCTGGCTCACATAGGCGGGGCAGGAGGCCGGGTCGGACGTCGTAGATATACTGGCATCTGCACGGCCCACTTTCACGCCATTCGCACGAGTACGTTGCTTGGAATGCGTCATTGGTCGCGGGCTGCTCGCGACGGTGATAATAGCAGCAGCATTGTCATCGTGAATGCGGTTGCATGTCGCCACAAGGTCATTGCGACTGGACTGAATCGCCGCTTCGAACACGCGTTGTTGCCAAGTTGCTGACAAATGCTTGTACGTAAAACTAAACAAGTCGGGCGCTGCATGCTGGACAAAAAACGGGACAGTCGTTGCTTCGACCACTTGATCCATGGAGAGCCGGCCGTGGTCTCGAAGCACACGGACGCCTTCGCTCCAATTCAGCCCAACAACTAACTGGGCAACATTGCATCCGTCACGGTCGGCAAGGTCCACCCATTGCATCGGCTGGTTTACGTCGCGACTGGACGAGTAGAAGTGATCCAAGAGCACACTGCACAGGTGGCCATCGCGCATGGCACATGCCATATGCAGCAACGAATCACCCGAAGTCGCTTCCGTGCCGTACACGTAATGTGACGCTTCTGGCAAGGCGAGCAATTTCTCGACCAACGACGGGTGGGCGCCTTGCACGGCCAAGGCCAAACACGCAAACGACAATACCAACGACGTCGTCTTCAATAACGTCATTGTAATTTCGCCATGACCAACGTAGCATGCCATTTCGAGCGCCGTCCACCTCTGGGAGTTCATGGCGTGGATCACGTCCCGGCTGCACTGGCCGGTGAGAAATTTCACAATGTCCAAATGTCCCTCCGCCACCGCCACGTGTAAACACGTATCTCGTTGGATGGTTACGGCATCCAGCGACAGGAGCGGCTTCATCTGAAGGAGCTGCAACATCCCCAGTTGATTCGACTCGGCAGCGACATGGAGGGCAGTTCGGCGAACGTCGTCGGTCATGTGCCATCGGAACGAGTGTCGGCCGACGTTCTCCACGAGCTGGTCAAGGCCGGAGACGTCCCCGCGTCGAACGAAATCGAAGAAGAGACTACACAGAGCCTCATGACACCACGTTGATGTTGACGTCGGGAGGTCGAGGGGATGCGTTTGTTCATGATGGTGTTTGACCACGCCGTCGTGACCTTCATCGTCGTCACGTCTGTCCGAATCGTATTCGGCCACATGAATGCCAACGCCTTGATTCTCCAGCCAAGACACGACGGCAGCGTGTCCTTGGAACGCCGCGAGGTGCAGAGCGTTGTCTCCATGGAAATTGACGACTTGCAAGTCAAAACCTAGTGCATAGAGGCCCTGCACAAGCTTCAAGTGTCCACCACCCGCTGCCAGCAGCAACGCGTTGTTGCCGTCCTCGTCCATGATATCACTGAGGCGGCCAGATCGTAGTGGAAGGTACATGGGCGGGGATCGACTTGCCACATCGAGGACTTGCAAGTCGCCTTCGCGACACTTCTGGAGAAACCACGTGTTCTCGGAGGCCCGTGCCAGTCCACCATCTTCGCTTTGATGGAACTTTTCCTCACCCTCGCATGCGTTGGAAGCAGAGGTATCAACATGGCGTCCCGTCTGGCGACGGCCCTGCCGTCCCATTGCATGTGGTACAGTTGTGGTAGGCGAAATCGAGTCCAGGAAGTCTGTGATTGGTGTATCTTATCCGTACATGCACATTTATCCGGAAAGCGAGCCTCCTGACGACACTTGACCTTCTGCAAGGAGGAAGATGCTCCATCCTTGGAACCTCCTGGGCGCGCTACGACGACCGGCGCGGCTGTTGGACAGACTGACGAGCGCGCACCACAAGTACTTGGATGTCGTGTGCGCGTCGCTCTCGCACAGCCCATTGTTCTTTCCCCAGGGATTCTTTAGCGAAGGGTGGGGCGATGTCCACGTGCCGTCGATGCTGGAAAAGCGACTCGCGACCAACGACAAGTACGCGATTCAGCCCATTGACTCGATGCAGTTGACGCTGCTTCACCCAAACCCATCCGCGTCGTCGTCTCCTCTGAAACGCAAACTCGCCAAAGGGCACACGCGGGTCGGCGGACGCTTTCCTACTACACTCCGCGATGGTGACCTCCTTCTTCCTCCTGAAAGCCAACATGCGTGCTTCGAGCTCATCTTGTCCGACCCAGCCATGCTAATGGACGCCACGTCTCAATTCCCTCGCGTTCGAGTTCGAGGACGCGGTGAAGCCCTGGTCGTGCTCCTCCCCGGGACAGGAGAGCACGGGTGCACTCATCGCCGGCGAGCAATTGCAGAGCCCCTTGCTCGTGCAGGAGTGTCAACGTTGGTGTTGGAAGGCGCATTCTACGGGCAGCGCAAGCCAACTACTCAAAAAGGCTCCAAGCTTCGACGGTGAGTGCAAGACTTCATGTTGCAGTTTTGATATGTTACGAGATGTCGTCGTGACGCATAACGTACCTGTGACAGAGTAAGCGATCTGCCGATCTTGGGCATGGCCACAATCGAGGAAACCAAGTCCCTGCTGTGGTGGGCAAAGCAAGAGTGGGGGTTTGAGCACGTCGTCGTTGCAGGTCCTTTCCTCCTCAATCAAGTCGACGATCTCATGCAATCGTGTAGGTGGCAGCATGGGCGGTTTGCATGCGGCGATGGCAGCATCCCTGAGTCCCATGGATGTGGGGGTCGCGTCGTGGATCGCGCCGCCGTCTGCGATTCCGCCGTTCACTCGCGGCCTCCTGTCGCAGTCGTGCAACTGGACATCCCTCCAACGCGATCGCGACGACTTGGCATTGATTGATATCCTGCTGGCCAACCACACCAACAACCAGTTCGATTCATCGGACACAGGACCATCACAACAGCATGTACGTAGTGCCATGGACCAAGCCTGCGCGCTTCACTCTCGTGCCCTGCCGACGTGCTCTATCTGACCCATCCTGCGCAGGACGTCAAAGCGCGGCTTGCGGCATTTCTGGCCCTAACCAACCTCGAGAACTTTCCCCCGCCACGGCGACCGGACGCTGTCATTTTTGCTCACGCGACGGAAGACCAGTACGTGGGGGCGAATGCCCAACAATGGGAGGTTCGTGTTCGTTGTAATTGGTGCATGATGCGCAGGCAGCTATGGCCTTCGATCACTGGGTGGTCGATGCGTGCTGACGAGTACGATGCTTGTAGATGCTCCGACGACGATGGCATGGCGCGCAATTTCAACATGTTAAAGCGGGCCACGTGAGCGGCATTTTGTTTGAAACCCAAGCGTTCTTGGCGACGATCAACGACGTGCTGAAACAGCTGAAGCAACCTCCGATTGCCATTGCACCAACGATCGTGCCGGCCGTAGCAACGACTCCACCAGTGGCTATGGATCGCACATGAACGAGCCATAGAACGATTAGTATTTAGTCAAGTTTGGTCAAGCTGCAATTGGGGCGCTTGGAAGCGACGAGGATGGTGGGGCGGCTGCATGGGTTGGCAGGACTGGTTGCGATGGAGAGGGGGCACGATACTGCATGTCGTACGGCGACCATTCTTTGAATATGGTTGACATGTATCGATGCATTTCGACGCGAACTAATGAAAAAATATCAAGGTCGTCAGGATGAGATCGTATTCTCCCCTCGTCATGATGGAGATAGAGTTACAAAATGTACCTGCTCGATCGTTCATGTCGCGGCGGTCCATTTCGGCGAGGACAATCTGTGTGTCGAAGCGAGTCGCATGGATAAGAGTCTGCATGACGAATTGTCGACGAAGACCCCGCGACGACTTGAGGACACCCGCAACGATGGCCGTGGAGACTGGTCGAAGTACGTCCATGCCAAACGCACGATTCAAGTTTGCAATCCATCGAAGCATTGCAATCTGTACTTGCCGTTGCGCCAAGATAAGCTTAACAAGCAGTGGCTACATCATCAAAAGCATGAGGGGATGCATCCGTCAAACTCGACGCACCACGAAATGTAGGAGGAATTCGGCGGTGTCCACCGCTTCTGCGGGCGATGGATCCAGCTGCGCCGTGCGTTGTTCCAGCACGCGGATCTGGTTCTTTACGTACCACACGGTCACGACTTGGTGCTTCAAATGGATGTGCTCAAGCTTGCGCAGCTGATCATGCAGTCCTGTGTCGAGATACGACGCCATGGTGTCGAGCAGGAGCTTCGGGAGGAATGTGCTGGTTAAAGATCCGACAGCTATTTTATCGTAACGTGATAGAGAAAACTCATTTTTCACAACCCCATGACACCACCCTAAATCTTCAAAATATGAATGGATATTTCGAATTTCTTGCAACTCGAATCCTTCTGGGTAAGAGTCTAGCGCTTTGCTCGGTAAGCGAGCCGACCAAATTCAAGGTCATTCCGAGGGTGCATGACGTATCCCCCACGTCCAGCAGCCCTTGCGTCTTGAACAACGAAGGGAGAACGGCGGGGGTGTACGTTGTTAGCGTATATCCATGGCGAAGGGGCGTGGAGCTGCTCTTCGAAATACAATCTGGGGAGCAGCTGCGGCGATTGCATGACGGCGCCATCGATAAGCCTTTGACCCTTCATTGCAGGCTGCCCGTTCTCGGGGAGGCCCCTTTGAACGATTGCGATCGATCGTTCATGTACGTGAACGCTCAAGAACAGACAAATTAAATGTTGGGAATAAAGTAGATGGATCGACGTATGCAATATTTCAAAAACATGAAGGCAAACCATTGGTTGATAAACGGATTTTCTGGCCAATGGATGGCCCGCAGGATAGGTGGAACTGCGAGCGCTGACCAGGAGCAGCCAATCTCGACATTGACCTTGCCCGTGACAATCATGTCCATGTCCGGTCTGAGCGCGTTCCTGACGGCGACGGGGGCACTGCCTCCTGCCGGCCTCGCCAACAACCTCATTTCCGAGCGCAAGACAATCCTGTCGGCGTTCTCCACGCTTGATTTGGAGCTGCAAAAAGGTCCGAACGGCGAAGTGGTCGTGAACAACAAATCGGCTGCACGCGATCTTCTGGACGCGCGCAAGCACGAAAAGCAACAAGAGTCGTTGTACGAACAAAAAGCAGAGCTCCATGCGAAGCAAGTGCAGGAGACCAGGAAGCCTGCCCCCGTCGTGACCGCGTTGACCCAGGCACTCGACTCGTTTGCCGCCGACACGGACGACCGCTTTCTCCCGAAAGCGTCGACGCTGCCGTCGTCGAAGAAAGGCCGCAACGTGTCTCGACGAGCACGTCAGCGCCATGAGAGCAACAAAGAAAAGATGGAGAACTACTCGAGCAAGATCAAGACGAAATCAACCATGCAAGTCAAGCGCGCCGAACGAAAGGAAAAGTACAAGCATATCTACTAGAGTTTTTGCCCTATTTTATATACCTGTCTCCGTCTCGATGTCAAGCGGCGCTTCGTCAACGTGTCCAGGCTGGTTCTGGTGCTTCAGTGAAGCTGTGGACTCGCACGACGCTGCCAGAACCGTTCAAGGGAATTCCCCATTGTCGAGCAACAAGGTGGTGAAATGCACTGCGGGCTGGCTGACCATGGCGCCCCTCCATCCATTGCTACTTACATGCAGAGCACACCGTCGCCAGCTTCTGCGTATGAGTGAACGAGGGTGTTCAGTCAGCTCCGTACTCCTCAAGGGAGTGTTTTGTGTCAAAGCGGCCGCGTGGATGGCCATGTTCGCCGGCAAAAGGCAACAACTTCAGCATATATTCAAGTATAAGATGATAGAAATTTATCCCAAATGCCTCGCCCGCGCAATGTATTGAATATGTAATGCTACGTAATGCTACGGATTATACAATTTCAAAGGTTATCAAAGCAAACCCCCAGCAGCATCGACGATTGCCATGCTTGGTGCGTTCAGGTACGGCACGTTTCCATCGCAATGGACGCTCATAGTTCGTAGCAAGAGAATGCTGTCACAGCGGCGTGTTCTTCGCCACGCGTCGGTGGACCCCCGTGGGTACGTCTGTCGAGAATCTCGGGTCGTCTTGTGTAGAGAAGTTTGTGATAGGGCCGTTGTCGCGGTGATGCTCTTGGCTGGCGCGACGTTGACAAAGGAGACGACTGCATCGAACGAAGAGGTAAAGGAATCCAGCGCGGAGAAGAAGAAAAAAGAAAAGAAGAAGACGCATTGGCACACGAGGCAGCGCCACGAAGAGTCGGACAAACAAGCCGTGCTCCTCAAGGACAGTTTGAAAAAGTACAAGGAGGACATCGTGGCGTTTGACAGCGTCGCGTCCCGCTTCGACACGTTTGCGACAGCCATGACCAAGGACAAGGATGCGAACGGTGTGCGCCGCAAAGCCATGACGTTCACGGGTGTGGTATCCTCCTCTCGTTCGATTCCTCATCTCGAACCCCCTCCAGATTTTCTCCATTCACTCGTGCTTCCCCGTTTTCGCCTCTCCCATCCCGTACGTGGAAGTCGTCGTACTAGAAATTCGTTCCCATGGCATGGCTGGCCGTCTCAGCGACGTCCTGCGTTTCTGCTCCCATGCCTGACCATCGCTTTTTGGACAGCCCCGCTCTGCCCAGTACACTTGTCCATTCGTCGGAGACGCCGACGGATTGATCACATATGAAGAGTGCCACTTGCTCTATCACTTGCTCGAAATTCCCGTCGAGCACTTCGAAGTGGCTTTTCACATGTTCGACCTCGACGGCAACGGTACGCTCGCCTAGTCGTTCCATGCGATGGTCACTCCCAAAGTAGGGACTGTGGACAAGACCGAGTTCCTCGAAGTTTTATCAAGCGTCCTGAACAATATCAAGGACATTCGAACGTCCGCGTCGGGAACCGGCGACGATGCGGTACAAGGTTCGTCTTTTCCACACACTCTACACCGCCATGCCAATCGTCGAGCGCTCCTCGAGCGAGACGCCCCGCTCCCTCCCTTGTCGCAGCATGCGGAACGCTGCTCTTGCGACTCCATATGCGCTCCCCAACGTGCTGAATGGTGTGTGCACGTAGTCGAAGCGTCGTACCACTTCCTCCTCCACTTTTTTGGAAAGAACGGAAAGAAGAAGATCACAGCGCGCGAGTTTGTCGCCGTCGTCCAGTCGTTGAAAGAGTCGTTGTTGCGCGCGGAATTTGACATGTATGCGACCAAGGACTCGGTGGTCGCGGGAACGGCGCCGTCAGCCAACGCCAAGGTTCGTTCTGTTTGGTGTTTGAATACGATGAGTGGATGGATGGACAGGATTCATCATCGGGTCATGTAGGAAGGCACGATCTCGGTCCATGACTTTGCCGTCACGATGATCTCGTGCTTTGACCCCAAGCACTTGCCAGCCATGCTAGACCGCTTGCATCTTCTTCGCGCCACCGACGTACGTTGGATCGCTCGCGACTTGTCGTGCATGCATCTTGCCACAGCGCGAAGTGGTTATATGTCGCCACGACGCATCGTCACTCGATGGATGCTGAGCAATTTCTTGTAGGAGCGTGTGAGCTGGACCGAGTTTCGCGAATTCCACAGCGTGATTCAGAATCATTTGGCCGACATCAAGCTCGCGTTTGAGCTGCAGCGCGGCGGCGACGAGATCACCGAAGGTGTGCATCCCGTTTCTTCGTGTTCGTGTAAGAGAGGGTTCATGGTCGGTGCTTAGATGACTTTATCAAGGCGGCATACATTGTGAGCGGCGAGCGTCTTCCGGCGCACGTTGTGTCGATGGCATTTCGTGTGTTTGATATGGACGGCAATGGATCCCTTGACCACGAAGAAGTCGTTCGGGTCAGTCGTCGTTCTCGTCTCAACCATCGGTGGTGGATCGACACACTTACCGATCCACGCCATGCAGGCGACGGCGCGTGAACTTGTCGACCCTCATTTCGTTTGACTGTGCTAGGTTCTCTCGGCGCGCAATAACCAAGCCACATTTCGCAAGAACGCCCCGACGTGGCCACCAGCCAAGTTCTGGGCATGCGTGACCAACCCGTCAACCGACTGATGTAGTCCAAGAACGCCGTTCTAGGCCTGGTTTGCCATTGTAATGAAACTTACTTGGCCGGGCATTGCTCGCACGGAGCTTGTTTCCTTGGCTTCTCTTTGTACATGCTCCATGAGGGGCATATGTGAGCAGCAGGTTAATGTACCAGTTTGCTGGGTGTTGTCAATCCCATCGCGGTGCACGTGTAGATCGGTTCACAGTGGTGCTCCCGGTGTTGGACCTGCTGTGACCGGAGATGATGCCCCTCAGGAGACAGCACGACTTCACACAGTGATTCCAGCCCCACGAAATTCTACTCCCGCGCCATTGCCTCGCGAGACGAAGCCTGTGTCCAAATCCTCGGGTCGCGTCTCTCGCATGCTGTCCTCGTGGCGGCACTCGCCGGGTGGAACAACGTTTGCGTTTGTCGACTTGGGGATTTCCTTTTTCGTTGGAATTTCGCATAATTAACCGTATCTATAAATCAAACAAATTCCAAAATGTTGGGAAATTCTCAAGGAAAGACTTGGAATTAGTGTGAAGAAGGTCGACATGGACGACAACCCAACGCCAAAACCACGTCGTGGTAACGGCGCGGCGACAAGCAAGGGCAAGCCAAAGGGCGGACGAGGAGGGACCAATGCTTCTGGAACCAACACACGTGGTGTCCCTGTTGCCGCGGTGGCACCAACCATCCTTCGGCCGCAAGTGAGCACGACCATCTTCACCCCAGACATGCCGCGACAACAATTGTTGTTCACGTCGTCGGCGACCCCACAAAAACTGTTCAACCCAAAGGAGGACCCCGCGTCGCCACCAGCACCCATGCTCCCTCGATCTTCTCAGCCAGGTAACCGCGGCAAAGCATCGCCCACGATCCCGTCGATGGACAGATTGTCCATGCGGTCGACATCGCTCTTCGTCGCACCTGGCCCAAACGAATCAACAGCCACTTCATTCGATCGATGGAAGCTTGTGACGCCGCAGATGCAGGTTCGTGTCACTGGCGTTTCACGTTAGTCCCCACGAAGGACTTGCTGTTGTGATCGCATAGCATTGCGCCGTCGACTCGGTGCCAGTGCGATGCCGCGACATGACGCAATTCGTTGTCGTCGGATGCGTGGGCTTGGAAGGAGTCGGCAAGTCGACCATCATGTCCATCTTGAACGGCCACGACCCGTTCGGCAACACGCCGTCGGCCTCTCTCGACACCACGTTCCCCATCCAATCTCATGGTGCGGCACGTCGACTTTTTTGTGATCCGTACGCCAAAAATGCATTGACACATGATGCAGACACTGTCTTGCATGGCTGCCATGAAACGACCGGAATTGATGTCTGCGTGACCTCGGACAACGTCATCCTCCTCGACAGCCAGCCGCTCTTGAGCACGTCGGTATGGCCATCGCCCATCGTCGCAAGCTCCCTGCGTCCGTCGTGACATGGCGTATCTGTAGATGCTCGTAGACATGGTTTCACAGCACGACTCGCCGAAATTTGGCGCCCTCGCTCTCGAGTACGTTCGATGAACCGGCAAGTGGCAGTGGATTGATGATTGCGGTGGCGGTATCTCGATAGCCACCAAATCCAACTGACGTCGTTGCACATACTGACGTACTTGCTGTCCGTGTGTCATCATCTCATTGTGGTACACGACCACTTGGACGAACCAGGTTCGACCGTGTGTGTAAATGGAGCCCCGATTTCGTGGCCACGCGTGTTCTTGGCCTCGTGCGGTTGTGACTGACGACGTTCCGTCTGTTGCTGTAGACCTGTGGCAGCTCCTCCACCTGGCGCAGCTGATCAAGTCGCGCCAGGCCGCCGCCGACGCGACATCAGCATCAACCAACTCGCCGTCTGTGGCCAAGCTCATCTTTCTTGCCAATAAGGTTGGGCCTGCATGTGGAATTGAATGCCATCAAGACCGCCGTGTGTGTGTCTTGAATAGATGTCACCCCTGGCGCCATCCCAACTCGCTCGGCACTCGCTCCACTTGCACCAGTTATTTGCCCAGACATCGTCATCCACCTCGACCGCTCCAGCGACCTGCGCAACTATCGTGGAAGGCGGTGGATCGATCTCTGTCATGACGATGCCATCGCTCACGACGGGTGCACCCTCAAACAAAGATGCCGCGACCGATGCCATCAATACGTTGCGCTCGAACGTTGCGCAGTTGCCCCGTGTACACCCCACCACAGCGACCGACCTTCCACCCACGGCGACCTTTTTCGACTGGGTCCAATACAGCTCTCGACAGTTTGAAGCGATTCGACAACCCATGGTCGACTATGCCCGATTGCTTCACAAGATAGCGTCGTCCAAGTAATCGCGCCGTCCGTGCAACGTTGGCATGTTGGAGTCGTGTGGTATGGTGGCGGCTCGAGAAGTGGTGCACCCACTGGCAACGACGAAGCGCCTCCCCAGCGTTTGGTTCCATTCAAAGCGTCGCCCACCGCATCTACTTTATCCCAAAGCAACACTCGAGTTTGGAGATAGGAGATGAATCGATCCATGGCGATGCTACCACGATTCCGGTCGATCGTAGTGTTGTCATGCTGTACAGCCTGATTCAAAGTTCTCCCTGATGGACACAGCAGGGCAGCGTCGAACTACGTGAAGGACCAAGGTCCCGTCGACTGTCTGGACGGTAGCGACGCGATAATCTTGGTTGCCGTCGGTCCATCTCAACCTGTTTGGCAAAAGGTTGCGTGGTGTGGGCTGTACAACACCAGGTCACGTTTCGCATGAGGTCGAGCACTGCACGAGGCTGTTGTGAAGTTGCTATCGGAGGTGCGGACTCGATCGTCGTCGCTGTCCTTTTCGACCGCCACGCAGCAGCTTTTGCGTGAGCTCGAGCACGTCGTGCCGCAGCCGTTCGATTTCTCGCGTGTGGACAACAGCATCTTTGCAAACGACGTCATGTGTGAGGAGGTGTAGCCACAACGAGGCAGGCATCCCATGCACCCCCAACGATTGGATTGTCCATGCAAGTACTTTACCATAAGGCATCGAGTGCTGGACCTGTCGACGCATCTCCGCTGCATGCTTTCGGTGCGCGTCGACGACGTGGCGGACTTTGGCGAGGCATCGTTCGTGCCACACTGCGTGGAGCTTGAGCACCCATGCGTCTAGCCAAGGGGTGATGAGCTCGATCGCGATGGATGGTATAGCACGATGGAGCGATTTTCCGGCGATGGGAGCTGGCGTACCAAAGTGGTGCGGCGCGACGTTGCTGCAGTGGCGGCGCTGGAAGGCCCGGACAAGGTGAAGCACTTTGGACGGCACCCACCGCAGTTCCTCCGTCTTGGCAAGAGCATCAGGCGAGTTGGAAGCACTCGCCGCTTTCTGTGGTGGAGGCGACGACGGCTCCATGTCGAAGTGGTCGGGGGAATGGTCTGCAACTTTGCCAGCATACCGCGGCTGCAAGCCCGACACGAGCCGCCCCCATGCCATCAAGTTGTCTTCCGGTGGGGTGCCTGGCCTTTGTACGTACGAAGCGCCTTCCAACGAAACATGCATCTGCCATGTCATAATCATAACGCAGCAGTGAGGAACTAGCTGGCCATTCACCGCGACCTACTTTGAACCGTGCAAACTCGGTCGTGTCGGCCAGCAACGCACACAGCCGTGAGTTATCTGTACGTAACTGCGACAGCACGCCAGCGGAGGCTGCTTCATCGTCGTCATCGTCGTCGTCATGGTTGTTGGATCGGCGGCGACAGACAGCATCCGCGAGGTCTGCCTGTAGTTCCTGGACCATCACGCGAAGGCCATCCCGCTCGCGACTAGCCTCGTGCCGACGGGCTCGCTCGACGACGATGTCTTGTCGGAGCGATTCGTTGTCCGCCACGACAGCGTCCAGCTCATCCGTCTGCATCGTAACAAGCGAATGTCAGATGCCTTTTGGATTGCCAACGACCAGCACTTGGCTCTCATGCAGCGATATGGTCACGAACCTTGTCCCGAAGGTGCCGCCGCAGCGCTGCCACGGCATTGCTGCAAGGCGACGACTGTTTGACTTCGTCAACGTATGCTTTCGCCGTCTACATCCACGGGGTGGTCAACGGCGTAGGAAACGTGAGGGAGCGCCCGGGAGGACAAGAGGTACCCACCTCGAGTTCGGCGACCAACGCCTCGATGCGAGCACGTGCTTGGCGGTCTCGCGCATCCGCGTCACGCCGAAACTGGGCAAACTCGGCATGCAGCGCCTCGTTCTGAGCGATCGATGCGTTCAAGGCGCGCTGCGTCTGGTGCAGCAGTTCTATTTCGTGGTTCGTCTCGTCGTTGGTCGTTGATGCGGTCGGCATGCTGCCCTTGTCCCCCACTTGCGTTCGAAGGCGGCGCAAGTCGGCCCCCAGTCGGTAGTACCGTTCCTTGCAGTCGGTGAGCTCGGTAAGGACTTTGAGATGCTCGGCCGCGTCGACGGAGCACGTTGGCGGCCGTGCCAACGTGCTTGCATTCAACATGGCGACTCTCCACGACCACCGCCGCCCACCACGACGCAAATCCAAACAACGTCAACACGCACATGAAACCCACGTCCTGCCGAAAATAGACTCCCGACAATTCTCGCCGCCGCGCCTTCTTCTCGCCCATAGACCATGTCCACGCTGGCTAGTTCAAAGTTCGCGACTGCGACGCACCCTCATAAACGGCCTCTTGCTTCCATCGAGCCAAGAGCGACGGACGTGTGAACGGCAATGTTGAACTCACTTGGCAAAAAAACCTCCTCCGCACAAGGGCCATTTGCGCGCTGGTCAACCAGATGATGGCGCCGTCGAAATGAAAAACCTAAACGAAGTGCTCTTCGAACGAGTTTTAGAACGGCACGAAGCCAAGCGATGCGTCCACCTCCAGCGTCGACGC